CATTATTTATTTTTTCTATTTGCCTCTCTTTAATTTTTTGAGTATCTAAAATTGGTCGACCAGAGTAAAGAAAAATGTGAGCAGGGGTCTGTCCAGTAGTGTAACGAATTGTTTAAATTTTGCTTAGTTTAGCTTCCTCATCTTTAGATGAATTAATTATTCGAATTTTTTCATTAATTGTAGTGACCAACTTAAACTTTACACTGCAATAACTCGTCAAGACGCCCTCGCCCTAAATTATAGCAGCTTTTGATAACCCAAAAAGTGAGAGAATTGTCTTAGACCAATCAGGACAGAATATGATCGTACGATTGTACAGTTAGGGAAAGGAAAGCCCATAGCAGTGACCACCGGCATGCAGCTTCCCAGAGCTTATTTCATTATCAGATAAAACCTCTTGGCGATATAATTTAATTATATATATCCAATCTAATAAAAACAAGAGGGGGATATTTCAATAAATATCCGTGTGTGATTTGTGTGAAAGTGGAAAAGGGATTCGACCCCAAGGCGTAAGGAAGGCCAAGGCATTTGGTTGCTCTACAGCCGACTTCCCCCCGTCTCCTCGACCACCGCATCAGCTCATGGTTTAAACCCAGTTCGCTCCAAGAAGAGGCCAAGAGGCCAAGAGACCTTCAGCCAAGAAGTTACGCAACCGGCCACCTGCCGCATGATAACTGGCCAAATATATTGGAAGGCTAGAGCTCATCCAGATTATTCAGCTGTGCAGAAGTTTAGACGGGCGGATCGGATTTAGTTATATTTGGACATCATCAACGTTACGCAGTGAGGATCACCTCATATGACCAGTGGAAGTCTAACTTAGCGATTTCGTCTGTTCGCAGCGCAGCGTAGCTGCCAGCGGTCTCCTAAGGTCTTATCGCTGCAGTTCTGCAGTTGCATTTCGGTGTTTTGTTTTGATTCTTGATTTTCTTTTTTATTGCGATTAATAATGAATTAAATACTCGCAGATTGACGGAACTTTTGGCATTTGAATAGGAATTTAAATTAGAACCTTTAAAATTTGACCAACAGCTCGACAGTATCAACGTGAACTTTCGCACATCATGGAGTGGATATTTAAGGTCACTAAGGTCAAAACAAGCACGATAAAAAAACATTAATATTATGAATTACGTATATTAAAATTCTACAAAATGCCACTCGATCGTCTAAACAAAGTAAGATCTGCATTTGGCTAAAGATTGTATAACTATATTTGCTAATTTTATATTCAATTACTTATATCTATTTGCTTTATACTTTACTTTTATATACTTTATTTTACTCACTAAATATAAACGAAAATGAAGAGTTAGAGAATGACTAGGATAATTATGCGTAGGTTAAAATTTGTTAGTTTGTAAAAGAGATTTAATGGAACCGCTTATTAAACTGAATTTATATAAATGGAATTATAATTGAAGATATATTGAAAAATAATGAATTGTGAATAAATAGATTTAATGGATTTAATGTCGAGTACTTATGTTGAACACTTTATTAAATATGTGGTAGAGTTATTTTGAACTTGGCCAAGGGACAATGTAAATATTTTAATTAGCATTGTCATGGTAGGGAGGGTAAAGACTTAGGGAATTATTAGCATCCAAAATTTCCAATACTTATCAGAATCTGTAGCTTATCTTCACACGTGTCGGCGTGCATCCGTAGTATCAATAGAAAGCCATTTCTTTTATTAATCAATAGTCCAGTTTTGAATAATGATTTTGAATAAGACGCAATTATTAAATGTAGTAGCGTTTCGAACTATCCTAAGCTAAAAGAACCATGACCTACGGCGAGCTAGACCCGAGCATAGCAATAGTGCGCGAAGGAAGTACAAGGTCCTCTTTATTAGTAATTACCACCCACTATTAAAAGACCAGCTAGTTAAAATCTGTCGAACTACGTACACTCATGTTTTATGTAACCTTTCTATATCTGCTACTCCGTTCTTTGCTGTGTTGATTCGTAACTCAATCTCCTCACCTTCAAGCCATCGCTTTTGAGCCAAGCTGGAGAATGCGCCGTCTCTATCTGCTTTTAACAATATGGGCTTGCCTGACTGAATTAGAAATTCGCATTAGTGCATTTCTACACTCTATCCAATCCTTTGTTTTGATTTGTTCAAGGGTGGTGAATTTCGATAAAACGATGAATAGATGTCTATTACAAATTTATCTCGACAGTGTATTTTCGTATTTTTGTTCTGTCTTGGTCAAGTTTTGAATTAGAGGTTGACAATTTCGAAAATAATGACTTTCTTTAAAAACCTTTGTCATTTTTTGGATACCTGGGTGCAAGAGTTTTTCATGTGATTGCAATATTATTTCTTTGAATTCTGCATATGAATGCACGAATAATCTTTGCGTAGTTGGTATTAATGATTTCTTTATGTGCAGACTTATGTTTTAAAATAGGCATCACTCATAATGTACATTGTGATGTATTTGTAGATGAAGTGAACAAGAAAAAAGTGCTTTGGTTTTTCTCTTGTCATTTTATCGTAAAAGATTTTAGTAATTGAATTGCCGAATATGGTTGACTTTTCTACTTTATTATGATCTGTTTTAGCGAATATGATTTGCTTTTACAAGTATTTATTAATTTTTCTGTTAAATGAATAGGCTCGCTATTGTCTTCCTCTGCACTATGTTGGGTGACTTTGCTATAATGATTCTCTACAATTTTGATTCGTGATAATGCATCAGCAACTACATTATGTTTGCCCTTAAAATAGTCGATAGTAAACTGAAATTTTTGTAATTTTGTTCTCCATCTTTGGAGTTTAGCATTCCTTTAGTGTATGTATCCACCTAAGTGGTTGATGGTTGCTAGCTATTTCGAATTGTCGTCCAAGTAAGTAGTGGCGAAAGGTTTTAGTTGCGAGTGGTTTTATGGCGAGTAATTCCTTTTCGATCGCACTGTAATTTAATTCGTGTTCATTTAGTGTTCTGCTAATGAATGATATTGGGTGACCGTTTTGAGAAAGAATGGCACCAAGGGCTACGTTACTAGCATCTGTGTTAGGGACAAATTTTTTTTCAAAATCGGGGAGTTGTAAAATTGGTTCACTTATTATCAAGGCTTTGAGTTTCTCAAATTAATCTAGATAATTTTGATTTTTTGTTTCTATTTTCATTCCTTTTTTAAGACATTGTGTCAAGGGTTTTGCTGTCAGCGTAATTGGGGATAAATTTGCGGTAATAACCGGTTAGTCCGAGGAATGTTATGATCTCTTTTAATTTATTTGGAATTGGGCTTAAAACTATAGAATTTACTTTAAGAGGGTTTGGTTTAATTCCATTGGGAGTTACAATATGACCAAGAAAACTTGCTTCTTTTTTAAGAATTCGCATTTGTTTAATTGCAATTCTAAATTTGCTTTGGACAATTTATTGAAAACCAATTGTAATGAATTTAGATGTTCATCAAGCGATGAAGAAAAAACAATTATGTCGTCCAAGTAAACTAAACAATGCAGTGGTCGAAGAATGTTATTCTTGCACCTTTGAAGTGTTGCTGGTGCGTTTCTGAGAACAAATGGCATCCGAACGTATTCTCTTGGTGGAGAATGCAGTTTTCTGGCTTGTTTTCTATTTGGTGAAAGCCTTTCGCTAGATCTATTGTTGTAAAATATTGACACTGTCCTAGTTTACCAAGTATTTCATCTATGTTTGGCTTGGGATATCTATGTGGAATGGTTATTTCGTTCAACTTCAAGTCATTTACAACTCTTTACTTCTCTTCACCCGAAGCGTCACGTTTTTTAGATACTACCCAAGTGGGGCTATTATATGGTGAATTGCTTTCTCTAATTAATCCTTGCTTAAGCATTTCTTGTACCTGCTTTTCTACATCTATTTCATGCATATGAGCAAGTGGATATTGCTTTGAATAAATAGGAAAATTGTGTGTTGTGTTTATTACGTGTTTTATTGTATTGGTGTATGTTAAAGGATCTCCTTCTTGATATTGAAGATTCTTGAATTTATTTAATAATATTTTTAATTTAGAACTTTCCTCCTCATTAAGATGATTTAATCGAAACAATTTAAAATCTAATTTTTTTATTAAAACCGAAATTAATTTCTCCTCTGGTATTGGTATTTTTTGTTTTTGAATGTAAAAGGAATGATTTTTATACTTTATCATAAATTGAAACTGTAGAATTTTTATAATTTATAATAGATTGTCTATCACTGAGTAATTTTCTGCCAATTAATAAATCATAATCTTCTGATAGATAAAATTATTCAGGCCTGTTAAAAATATTGTTTCTAGGTATGGTAACAGACTCGTTTAGTATAATATTATGGCACCGTTAGATGTAAAAACTTCGCACTTAGTGTTTTGAATTGGGAGACTAAAGATATTTTCTCTCATCATGTTAATGGTCGATACTGTGTCAATGAGGCATTTGTATTTATGATCTTTGTGTGTAATTTCTATGAATTTGTGTTGTCCGAGGCAGGTAACCGAAAATTCTCTTTAGATTGAGAAATATTTTTATTTTGTTTGGGCGGCGTCATAAGTTGATTACTGTCAATCTGGGTTTGGAATTGATTGTAGTCAAAGAACTCTTGTTCATAAAAGTGTTGATTACAGTTTGGATCAGTTGGTACATATTCTTGTGCATGTTGTAGTTTAAGTTCCTCGGTAGACATTCTTGATTGGTCGCTGTCAGCTGGTCTAGGACGTTTAAAAGTTGGTTTAATGTTGGAGTTGGGGTTAGTTATAGTTTGTTGTGTTTGTGGAAATGGATTCCTATTAAAATTAGGTTGTGGGTTTGCAAATCTAGTTGCACCGAATTAATTTTGTCCAGGTCTCATGGGTGGTCTGTTGAAAATTTCTCGTTGTTGAGTTTGAATGGGTGGATATTGTGATTGAATGGGTGGATACTGGTATGGATGAGACAAAGGCTGTAATGGTTGATAATATGGTGGATATCAAGATTGACAGTGAGTTTGAAAGTGAGTGAAAACGTGGAGGAAAATATGAAAACAGCCAAAGAGGCTCCAGTGTCGCCCAAGCCCAGGAACTCGAAGCTACAGCTTCACGTGAGCCGGAGGACATCAAGCCGGGAAACTAAATGCGAAGAGATAGAATCGAAATCATCGAGCTCCAGCTATGTGGGCACACGCAGAAGAGGCAGGCCCCCCAAACAGAAAAGGACTCTATACGGAGAACTCACGGTCAACTGTCGCAAGTGCGGAACTGCCACGATCTATAATCCGGCTCGCACCAAGTTCTTCTCATGTGCGGAGATAGATGTTCGCTTGCTTAAGGTGAAGCGCATCTCGGCCAGAAAGGTGCTGGGTGGTGCCTATCGCAAGGAACCGAAGAAGCGGACTGCTTATACTTGTAGGAAACCCATTGTTCCTTAAACTCGAATTCCGAAAGATTTCAAAATGCATGTAACTCTTGTCTAAATTATTCGTACCAAGAATTGTTATATACAAGTAAAAGCTTCAAAGCAAGCTATTTTGATTATTGAACTGATTAATTCAATTGAAAGGGAACCGTTTCTGCCTCTGATTCTGTCAGATTGCTTTCGATTAAGTTCCCATTTCCTCTTCCGACACTTTCTCTCAATCTGCAGGACAACATCAAAGGAATCACAAGCTCAAGTGTGCGACAATTGTTTAGCCAGGCAGCCCACCGCAAGTGCCTTGGCACATCAAAAGCAGTCAAAGCGGTTTCAAGTTACATTTTTAATATTTTTGGGCGCTTTTCGCTCCATGATTTCTCATGTTTTTCCCTGCCAGCAAACGAAATAAAGCTGAATGGAAATCGCCGGGGGCGCAAATTAAAAGAGCAGCCAAGGAGTGGGAGCCGAAAAGGATGTGCTGTGTTAACAAGGCGTATTGAGTGTGCAAAGGCCACAGGAGGCAGGATTTGATTCATCAAAGCCAGGGCCACGCCCACAAAGAGGCCGTTGCTGAGGGGCGCTGTCGGTTACGAATTTGGGTCAACCGGGAGCTTTGAACTGTCTTAGTGGGGCAACGCGAGCAGCTAGCCAGGAGCTGCCAACGTCATGGGCCAGTGACGTCACGAAGAAAGTTGAATGGCAAAAGAGAATGGCGTCGAGTAATGCAATTATATGGCAGCAGCAGGTGCAGGACTCTCGCGCTCTCTGGAAAATGAAGGAACGGAAACTCTCTCTTTGATGCAGTCCATACGCCCTGTTGCACACGCTTGGTGCGTTGCGCATACGCCCCGTAAGCCAGTTTTGCTAGTTCAATCAACTTTAGTTTAATAATCATATTTTATTACTTGCTTTCGTGTATATAGTTTGTATGCGTTTCACTATATTTAATAATTGTTTTCTGTTTCTGCACTTGGTTTTGGATTTCGTTTTCGTTTACGGTTGCCCTTATTGCTTATTCGAATTGTAGACAGTTACCAACATTGATTGGGCAATTGCAATTTGCGTTATTGTGTTCCTTTATTGTTTAATTAGCTAACAATGTTTGCTATCGATTAAATTCATTTGGCTATGGATTCGGGGGTGGGAAGACGGGGATTCAGAAAGGACAGTTTACACGGCAAGCAAATGGACACCACCTGGGACACCTCCATCCCTTCAATTTGGGGTTCGCTCTGGTTTTGGGGATTCTACCTCAAGTATAATACTTATTCGCTAACCTTTTGATTATTATTCATCTAGTACGGCTTGGTGTGACTCGTGTATATACGGTTAAATACGATTCCGTTGACTGTGATTGCTAAAAGTCTCTTTAAATCTGCGTGGGCCGCGACCTCTGCAGTCTCGTGACCCGGTGTTTAAATCTAGTACGTAGTATTATTTTTAATTTTAGTTCTAATATTTTTTTCGAAATTTTGCTTCGTGTATAAGCATTTCCGTGTTCTTCATAAATCACCACATTTTGTGCTATGTTAATAAGGGTTCTTAAATCAGGAATTTCATGATTAGCAAAAATACAGAACAAATTAGTTGGTAATTTTCGAATAAGTATCTTAATAGAGTCCCTAATTGCTTGCAAATAAATGATGAGGTCCGTAATATTACCTTCTAGATGTAGCTTAGATAATATTAATATATATTAAGAGTTGACGCCGATTATTAGCTTCTTCGCAGAATGTTCGTAAATTTCCTTTGTATGGCGGAAATTTTCCAGAAGTTTTTAATTTTGCGTTTGGGGTTTGTATTGCCAGTTCTTGATGTTTGGTAGTCCCAATGATCTTATTACTTGTCCATCTATGTATCGTTCCACAGGTCCGAGTAGAATGCGTTGTTGTCGCAGGTCGTTAGTTGGATAGAGTTCTAGGATGTAATCCACTCTACTAATGAACGTATAAAGCGCTGTGGGAAAATGTCTTTGAGTTGTCTTCGCGCTTCACTTAGGTTGTTTTCGTTTAGGGTTACGAGTTGTGGTGCAGCAATATTAGGTAGTTCCATTTTGTATTTTGTTTTAGTTTTATATTTTCACGATTTTGTCTTCTGGAGTTTGTTATTGTTTTGATTTTTGCTGTTACGCTTATAAGGAGATTTAGATGTATTATTTTCTGTTTTGCTTATTTGGTAGCTTAGTTGAAAAAATGTCTACTTTTCTATAATTTTATTATTTGTAATGTTTCTTTCTCCTGCCGTTGGACTTATGGGAGTAATTTTTTCTTAGGGATTTTCTTTGTTTTTCTTCCACTTTTTTAGGCAAACCGAAATGGATTTAAATTCCAAGTTGAAGTAACGAAAATCACAAGCGTAATTGCTCACGGAATTTATAAAATGATTAGATAAGTTAATTTTTTTCCACTCCCGTCTCTTTTGTTTTGGATACTTTTTGTATCCTACCGACAGCGCCAGTAAAATAGTTTTTGTTTTGAGTCGAATAAATGTTGAGTCGAGAAATGTTTGTTTCTTTAACGAGACTCGCAATATCGAGTTTATTATTAAACGTTTATTTAATGTTTATTTAACGAGAAATCGATACGGCGGAGCACCGCGGTCGGTCTTTGTATAAGTGAATTATGAGGAAGGCATAATTACGTTACTATATATAATTATATGTTGGTAATATTCATAAGTCAAAAAAATATACTTTTTCTTAACTGAATAATTACAACTCTTTATTTTGAAGAACACCGACCTTCTTAATTTAGGTCTCAAACTCAACATCTTCTTCTTGATCTGGATTGATTGACGTTCAAGCCTCGGTTTCGAGCTTTCTAAATATGGACTTTGGATTTTAGGATTTGGAGAGAGAGTTTTGGGGTTATTTGCATTTCTCTTGGATTAGCGTGGATTTGCTGTTGGGTTTAGATTCTTACGATTTTGTTTATTTGAAATGAAAACTTTTAATTTCGAGTTTGTGAGGGTTTAGGTAAGGAATGAATAGTGGTGGTCATCCAGTGGATGATTTGTCTCAATTACATCCTGTATTCATATGACAGTTTAGTTCTTATTGATTGGATACGATTAATAGTCCACGCTTCTGTCTATTTTTTTGGTGAATAGTTATTCCGTTTAATTCTTGTAGTGACCAACTTAACTGTACACTGCAATAACTCTTCAAGACACCCTCGCCCTAAATTATAGCAGCTTTTGTGTAAAACAAAAAAGTGAGAGAATTGTCTTAGACCAATCAGGACAGAATATGATCGTACGATTGTACAGTTAGGGAAAGAAAAGCTATAACAGCGACCACCAGCATACAGCTTCCCAGAGCTTAATTCATTATCGGATTAAACTTCGTGGCGAACGCTCACTATTTTGACGCTGCCCATTTAAACTTCACATACACGTGGAAATATAATTTAGTTATATATAAAAGGAAACAAGAGTGGGATATTTCAATAAATTTCCGTGTGCGATTTGTGTGAAAGTGGCTAAGAGATTCGACCCCAAGGCGTAAGGAAGGCCAGGCCTATATAAGAGCATTTGGTTGCTCTACAGCCGACTACCCCCCGTCTCGTCGACCCACGCATCAGCTCATGGTTTAAACCCCGTTCGCTCCAAGAAGAGGCCACGAGGCGACATAACCTTCAGCCACAAGTCACGCAACCGGCCACCTACCGAATGATAACTGGCCAAATATATTGGAAGGCTAGAGCTCATCCAGATTATTCAGCTATGCCGAAGTTTAGACGACCGGAGCAGATTTAATTATATTTGGACATCATCATCGTCACGTAGTGAAGATCATCTCCTATGACCAACGGAGGTCTAACTTTGTGATTCCGTCTTATCGCAACGCAGCGTAGCATCCAGCGGTTTCCTAAGGTCTTATCGCTGCAGTGCTGCAGTTATATTTCGTGTTTTGTTTTGATTCTTGATTTTCTTTTGTATTGCGATTTATAATGAATTAAATACTCGCAGATTGGCGGAACTTTTGGCATTTGTATTGGAATTTAACTTAGAACCTTTAAAGTTTGACCTACAGCTCGACAATGTCAACGTGAACTTGGGCCCAACTTTACGCACATCATGGAGTGGATATTTAAGGTCGTGAGTACTACAAAACAACAATGATTAAAAACCCTATTATGAATTACCTATATTAAAATTCCACAAAATGCCACTCGAACGTCTAAATAAAATAGGATCTGCATTTGACTAAAGATTTACTAATTTTATATTCAATTACTTTTGACTATTTGTTTATACTTTACTTTTATATACTTTATTTTACTCACTGAATGAATATAAACGAAAATGAAGAGTAGAGAATGACTAGGGTAATTATGCGTAGATTAAAATTTGTTAATTTGTAAAAGAGATTTAATGGAACCGTTTACTAAACTGAATTTATATAAATGGAATTATGATTGAAGATATATTGAAAAAGAATGAATTGTGAATAAATAGATTTAATGGTTTGTCGAGTACTTATGTTGAACACTTTCTTGAATATGTGGTAGAGTTATTTTGAACTTGGCCAAGGGACAATGTAAATATTTTAAGTAGCATTGTCATGGTAGGGAGGGTAAAGACTTAGGGAATCATTAACTTCCAAAATTCCCAATACTTATCAGAATCTGTAGCTTATCTTCACACGTGTCGGCGTGTATCATTAGTATCAATATAAAGCCATTTCTTTTATTAATCGGTAGTACACTTTTGAATATTGTTTATGAGTAAGACGCACTTATTAAAATGTAGTATCGATTCGTACTATCCTAAGCTAAAAGAACCCCGACCTACGGCGAGCTAGACCCGAGCATAGCAAGAGTGCGCATCCCTAGCGAAGGAAGTACAAGGTCCTCTTTATTAGTAATTACCACCCACTATTAAAAGACCAACTAGTTAAAAATCTATCGAACTACGTACACTACACATTTTTTTTGGCGCCCAACGTGGGGCACGACAAACACTACACATTTTTGGCGCCCAACGCGTGGAGCACGACAAGTACTACACATTTTT